ATACAATATTTGGTTCCGTAGGATAAATTGTTTTAATAGCAATGAAATACTTGGAGTGGAAAAGGGAGGATTTCATCATCTGATGCAAAAAGACACTGGTCAGTTCCTGCTTTCTAAGGCAACATTGCCCCCATCTGGACAAAGGCAGCTTGTACTAACGCCAACAGGCTGGCATTGGTACCCTAAGAGTTCGATTTTTTAAAAAAGGAGTGAATTTTCCCCAAAGTCTTTCAAAGAGTGTCATTGCAAACTTCTGATTTTGTAGTATCCTTTCTTCAAGCTCATCTTTTACTTGACTATTTGAAAATCTTTTAAATATTTAACTTAGATGATAGCTACTCAATATCCTTTTATGCTATATGCCTATTCCTCACTCCTGCAAAAAGAAAACAGTGCATTTTTCTAAAAATAATATTGTATAAAATCAAAAAATGCTTCTAGTTTCAATGCACTATGCAATCTGCATATACATATGCGTATTGTGTGCAAATATCAGGTATATGCTCACAACTTGTGTAGAAAATGACAATACTTTTGATACTAGAAAACTATATACTATCCTTTTAGATATACACACACAGTAAAGTTACTTACATTTTTACCAATTAGGTGATTATATGGCTTCACCTTTATGAATAAAAATTAACAATGGGTTTTAAGCATTTCTTGCAACAAGTAACTTCCTTCTGGTCTTCACAGGCCTTGGAGTGATCAACAACTCCACGAAGCCTGAAAAGCAGCCTTCACCTTTTGAGAAATTACAAAATAAGAAGCCATGAAAACTTAGCATATTTCCTCTCTGTTTCATCCAGAACCTTCCTCATATACCTATTCTTGCACTCACTGAAAATTCCCCACAATCAATAAAGCCTCTGAAATGGTAAGAGCAGGTACCCTCACAGTTAAAACAGGATCTCAGGAGAGCACTAGAAGTTATAATTAAAAAGAAAAAACAACAAAAAAGACACACTATTAGAAGACACATATAGTTGCTATGCGGAAGAAAGGAAACCTCATTTTAGCACAAGTGGAACACACCCTATATTGATATGGAACATCCAGCCCTTGGATGGAGGGATGATCTGCCTCTCAAGCAAGTTACCTTTGCAAAAACAATTCACTACCAATATCAAAGTACGGGACAAACATCATCCACTTCCAGAGAGCATTTATTTTAGTGCCCCCTGCTGTTAATACTACTCTGCTGCTTTAAATTGGCATTAGAAAACAGAGAGGAAAAAGATCAGAGTTGAATTTTTCCAGTAAAGTCCCTTTGCAACACCATATTGTCTTCCATATCCCCCAACTCTATTGACTGCAGTTTGACTAAGCAAATAGTCACCTTTTCATACTGTCAGGACATATTTAAAATAGCACATTATGCAGACACTATACTTTTACGATAGGACGCGTTTGATTCTGCAGCACTGATTAAATTTCTCTAGTGCTTAAATTCTGGTACCTGAATGCAATGAAGTTATTTGCAAGCCAACCTTGTTTTCCTGCCATCAGCAGCAGGGCACAGCAATAGGAGCAGAGCGCCAGGCCAGGAGGCCTCCCGCGCTTGCAGCAACACACCAGGTTTACCAGAGCTTTCATTAGAAATCTGCAGGCTAAAGACTGAGAGCGTTAGAAGCAATTGTTAGATAAAATGAAAGACATCACCTGAAATCCAAACTGCTTCTGTTTAGACTGCTAAAGTTAGTTTTATTTTATAAATAATAGATCGCTCGCTGTGAATACAAGGTTAATGGCATCTCTCCGGGTCTGCTGCACTTCATAGGCAGTTGATGCTCCCGTTCTTTGTGATTCCGTCTTTGCCCTCTCAATAAGTGGCACCGTGGGCACCGGCGACGCTGCGGCCAGCGGCGCTTCGAGCGCCAGCCCCTCGTGCGCAGCCGGGGCCGCCCGCCACGGGGCCCGCGGCTCCAAGGGCTGCCCCACTCATCGGCCGGGGCTTTGTCCATCTCCTGACCCAGCAGGGCCTTTCAAAATACCAAAGCACCTGACAGCAGGGGCAGCCTGCATCATTTCTAATGGTAACAGCCAAGCAGGGGCAGACTGGGTTGGAGTAGATGATCTCTAGAGGGCCCTTCCAACCTCAACCATTCGGTGAGTCTATGATTGTATCACTTCTAATGGTAACAGTCATATATATCTCAGTGATGTGCAGGGTCAGGCTTATTTTCTCACATCTCTATTATTTAAGCATGAGCTTCATCTTGAAGAATCAATCTTTGTTTTGAGACCACAAAACTGTTTGTTGTGTCCAATGTCGCAGGAACCCCGTGGATCAGTCGCCACGATCCGATCGCCTCACGGCACCTTCAGCACTGCCGCGAGGGCCCTGGGCGGCACAGGAGGGCCTGCAGGCGCCGGGTGGCAAATCACACACAACGACCCACTGCTTTCCTCAACACCTCCTCAAAATCGGCGCCAGGTGCCCATTTCTGGCTCAGCACCTCTGACGGTGCCTTTGGAAAAAGCACCGAACCAAAAGGTGAAAGAGGCACCACCTCCCTTGCCCCGTTCTCCCCGCTGCACCTACGGTTTTCACTTCTCCCCCGAGCTCTCGTTGGCCCTGTGAGCTGCCTGCAGTTGGGGAGGAATCGGCACAGTTTGTTTGCTTCATTTTTGAGAAAACAGATTTTTTGAAGGCAGATGCTGCTGTGCTGAGACCAAAGCTTCTCAGAGCGACACGCCGGCTTTGACTGAGCTCTTCTCTGAAGATACTTCCCAGGGTCCAGCCAAACTCAGAGATCACTTTGAGAGGAGCTGAATGCAGAGATTGCTGTGACCCTTGGGGGCTTTTTACTGCTGAACACGGCTCTGTCTCCAGATTGAACACAATCAGCATTGCTGCAGAAGGGGAGATCACAGAGAACTCACCCGAGAAGAACCGATCACGGAGCGGGTGCCATCTGCTAGCCAGAAGCCCTCTGTGCTTGAGTTAGGCAGAGCAGGGAGCCAAATCTCTGCTCCTTGATTTTTTTTTTTTTTTCCTGAGGAATAACACTCCATTTCTTTCTACTGCCCATTAAGCTTTGAAACATCTTTGGTTACCCAAAATGAGCTGGGAGGCAGGGGAGCTTCAAAAAGCCCCGTGAGTGGGACAGGGTTACTTTCTGGGAGGGAATTACAAACTGCGACCAGCACTTTTTCCTATGACTCCCTTTCCTAAGGACACATGCAGGTAGAGCCCAGCCAGAAACAGCAGGGATCTTTGCACAAATTGTATAACGAAAAACCTTGAGACAGCGTGACAAATCTGAGTCTCACACTCAATTTCTATCCAAGCTGTCAGGCGTTTAAGGTGACCAAAGAAAGTCAGTGTTTGTAGCTGTTTGGCTTTATGTAGTCCTCACCATAGGCCGTATCAGTAATAATGATTTGCAACATTTTGAGTAGAAGATTTTATTTAAAAGTAATGACAAATGAGAGAGCAGGGTGAGCAGAGTCATGATTCACACGGGTGGTCAGCCTAGCGATCCACTGGTGTGACCCTTCTGGCCACACACACAACAGATGTTTGCTTAAAAGATTCCCTTAGGCCATTCTGTCCATTACTGATTTACACGTTCACCGCACATATGTAACAGTACACAAATAATTTACATAAATAATTTGGCTGTAATTGCAATATTTACATATAATATCAGTATCAGTTAAGTGCTTTGCACATATCTTAAGTTCATCTTCCCTTTAAAAATACGGGCTTCTTCTTATGTCAGTCGTAAAGCTGTGTGTTAGTTTGATATTTTGTTTTAAATATTTGATAAACTGAAAGTGACGGTCCTGCTTAGCAAGACAGTCCACTTAGCAAGAAGTCCTTTAGAGTCCTTGTGTTACACTGAGATATTTTAGCACAGAACCTGTACCTGTAAAAATGTGGTTTATGAGGAAATAGCAGAGATATAGTGTCATACTAGTTTCTTACAGAAGCAATAAACTCATTTAATGTAGATCAGCTTTCAAAGATGTAAGTCATAAAATTAGGCTGTTCTGAATGAGCCACAGTTCTGAAAGAAGTCAGAGCAACAGTCTCAAATGAGCAAAAATGCAGTACTGTATTTTTGCCTACAATTTCCTGTTGATGCCACCAAATCCTTGTAACAAATATTGTTCAAAGAGTAAATAAAGCAAGCACCTGGTTGTTTCAAAGAAGTAAAGCAGGAGTCTCTCAAATTTATTTTTCTAATATTCAGGTGCTTTGTTGATTTATTTACTAGTGCTTACTGCAACGCACTGTTTAATACCTAACAGAACTGAACAGCACATTTCTGTAGGACACTTGTATCTTATTCATATCAACTAAGTAACCTCTAGAAAAACACATGAAACTCCGCTGAATAATCCAATAAAAATCACACCAAGTACTCTATCTTCTATTAGGTACCAGTATATGACTTGTTAAATTAAATTTATACCAAAATACTAGCAGAAGCAGAAATAACCCTTTAGAGACTTCTATCTCTATTTTTACAGGACATTTTTTGTATGTTCAGGGCTTTCTAAGATTATCCAACAGAGGGCTCCCAGCAGCTATTAAAAGGCTTAATGGAGAGTCGGAAATATGAGTTCTAGTTCATACCTATAAATTATCAAATACATTTTAATAAATCTGTTCTGTATACACACACATATACACACACTCCCCCCACACTCCAGTTTGAAATTTGTAAAAGCACACAGCAAAACCACCCAGGAAGTTCCTCATGATAATCCGTGTTCTGTTACAGCGAGTTAGTTCACATTTTTTTTCAAAAATATATTTTTTTAAGTTTGAAGGGTAGTATATTTTTAAATTGTTGCTGCACATATGAAGTTATACTTTTTTATAACTTTTAGGCCCACGGGATTACATACTGTTTTATAGATTCAGACTTCTTTCCTTATGCAACTATTATTGCCTTATTAAGTTCAAAAGTAGATACAATGTAGAAACTAAAATTTAGTAGTCATGCAAAAAAAAGTCAAATAAAGTGTAATTTTTTACTTACCACAAGTCTCCATCTTCAATAGTCTTGTCATTCGGGGCTCCAGCATGCCCATAGTGTAAAACAGAGGAGTTCTCCCCACTGACAGATGAAAAGAAAACACAGCAAAATCAGC